TTTCATTGGGCCACATAAGTTTGTTTTAAGGCTTGAAAGGCAACCTTGACGAACCAAGATAACGTGACCCAATAAAAGTGGGGGTTGGCCGGAGAGTGCTGGAGGCGAGTGCCCCTGGTACAGTTCTACACAAAGAAGCCTCCGCATCGGGAGGCGGGATCCAAATCCTTAAAAGGTTTAAAAGTCAAGTGGGCTAGGGTAGCGCCTCTCTGGACGGGAGCGACGGGAGGTCATGAACAGACGAGATTATTTAATCGCAGAATGGTACATCCGTACATGATTTGATAAGTATTTTATAAAAAAATTGTAGGAAAAAATTATGTCAGCTAGAAACTTAGAATTTATAAAAGTGAGGAAAGACTTGCTTTAGATAAAATAGGGGATAATGATAAATAGAATGAAGATTTTGGGATAAAAATTTGGAATTATTTATATAATATAAGTGATGTTATTTAAAATATCAAAAATATAAATATTATATTATTTAATAATTAATTTTTTATATTTTATTAAAATTTATAATATTATATAATATCAATTCATATAACAATATATTTTATATTAAAATATTAATCTCAATTTTTTTGTCTCCTATATGACTACTCTAAAATAAGAGAATACATATTTTTAGTTTTATTTGAAATTAAAATAAACTAATAAGAATTTTGTAAAAGAAAAATTAAAAAACATAACATGAATTGTGGAAACCAACGTAGAACCATATCTTTATAACTCATCCGAACAATAAATTTCTGATACCATATAAGAGAAATTAAAATATGTGAATGTAAGTAGCAAACTCATAAAACTTTATTATATATTTATCCATAGAATAATGGGTATAGTGTAAAGGCATTAGATGTGTCAAGAAGCTTAAATACCTTAGTCTTATATTTAAATTGAGAGAAATGAAGGAGAGATGGGAGAAATTATAGTTTTTTATTTTTTTATTTAGATAAATAATTAAATTAAAAAAATTAAGTAAAAGAAAATTTTTTTCATCCCATCTCCTTCAATTTTTTGATAATTAAATAGAAAAAAAAATTTTTCTCTTCTCTTTATTCTCCTTAATCCAAATATATAGTAAGATTTTTTATATAATATTTATATAAAATTTTAATTTTTTATTTTTTTATTTTTAATAATTGAAATTTATTTATTTTTTATTATATTTATTAAAAATAATTATTTTTATTATTTAAAAAATTATGATAAAACTTAATTATTAAAAATAAAAAATAATTAAAATTTTATATAAATATAATATATAAAATTTATATATATAAAAAAATCTTCCTCCAAAAATAAATATTAAATATGTTAAAGGTAAACTGTACTACTTTCGAGGAAAGGTACCTCATTCTTTTGTGTGTTCTTTTTGTTCCAACCAGCTACGTCAAATCTATGTCAGCCGTGTTTCCAGAGACGCACATGGACAATAGCCTCTCGGCCTCTTGGGTTCCGTATGAAAGTGGGTTTTTCTATTTTTGTTTTGTCTTTTTGGAGGAAAGTTTTTTTATTTGGTTAAATACTAATTTTGCTTTTAATTTTATAAATTTATATTTTTTTTTGATCTTTCAGCTCTAATAACTGCATAATTTTAGTCATCCATTAGTTAAGTGCCAACGTAGCCGTTGAATTTGTCCAAAATGGCATTTTTTTATGATGTGGCGATAACACAATAGACAATCGGGCTTACATGGACGAAAAAAAAAAGTCAAATATTATTCCCAAACTCATTATAATTGTTTAATCTTAAAAATATTTGAAATTTACAATTGTACCCCTATCAGCTTCATCTTATTCCCCAATCCTCTTTTTTTTTTTTCTCCATTCATATTGCTCAACACCATTGTTCAACTCTTCCTCCCCCTCCTCTTTTCTTTTCTCTGGCACTCTCTCCCTTCTACCTTTTTTGATCTCTTTCTTTTTGTCTTCCTCCTTTCACTTTTGTCCCTTCCTTTCCTCATTCTTCCTAGATCTGGAATTGTACAAACCCACATTTATGGTTTTTGAAACCAAGAATTCTGGGTTCTTGCAAATCTATTCTTGAAAGGTTAAATCCCTAGTTCAGTCCATCAACTTTCATTTTTGAACTAAATTTGCTCTCGAACTTCAAAAAGTACTAAAAAAATCCTTGAACTTCAATTTTCGAGACCAATTTCATCCTTCCGAAGACGAAAGTGCCAGATGGCACGTTAAGTTGCCACAAAATCAATCCTTGTTTGAAATCTTTAATTACATGAAAAATAACTTAACTTACTATGGTATTTTTATTGTCCACGTCATTTTAATTAATTTATATATTAAAAAATTTTAAAATTCCTTAAATACCCTCATCTTCATCTTCCAGCCCCTCTTTTTCTCCTTTCTCGTCTCTCTTTATCCTCAGATGCCTCTTCATCTTGTAGCCCACTCAGCACTGATCATCACTCATTGCTTCGGTCATCTGTTACCACTCCAATCACCATCTCCTTCTCCCCCAAACCTCCTCTCTAATGGAACCCAAATCTGGTTCCTCGCACAATAATAATAACCAATAAATCTGGTTCAAAAAATCAATTATATTGCAAATTTATACCAGATCTGTAAAGATTCAACAAATCAATTATATTGCAAACTTATATCAAATCTGTAAAAGAAAAGGAAAATACAAAAAACACAACATCCCTTTAATCAACACCAACAGTAGTTATATCTTGAAATTCAAGGAAGTAGAAGCCACACAAAACTCTAAATCCCATACCAAGATTGCCAAGCATGATTGTAGCCAACAAAGAAATAGAAGAAAAAAAAGAAGAAAATGAGAACCAATGAGAAAAAATCATGGGATTTCTTTCAAAAATACTGAAAGAGAAAAGAAGAAGCAAAAAGCAAGAATGAAGAAGGTTCCAAAGAACCTAGGCATGTTGGGTTCGAAGGTACCTTGCGCTTGGGTTCCATCGAACCCAAGCGTTAGGTTCAAAGGAACCCAGGGCCTGTGTTTGCAAGAACCCACGCCTAGGTTTGAGTCGAACTCGCTTGGGTTCCATCAAACCCAAGCGTGCTGGGTTGAACCTAAGCACTAGGTTCGGAGGAACCCAGGGCCTGGGTTCAAGTCAAACCTGCCTGGGTTCCATCGAACCCAGGTGTGTTAGGTTGAACCCAGGTGTTGGGTTCGAAGGAACACACGCTTGGGTTCGAGGAACCCAGGCATGCTAGGTTGAACCCAGTAGGCAGGGGAAGGAGAAAAGAAAAGAGAAGGGAAAAAAAAAAAAGGAAAAGAAAGAAATTTTTACTTAATAATTATTTATTAAATTATATTCATGTTGCCACGTCATAATATTTTTATAATTAAAAGATGCCATATCACCTATTTTATTTCCACCAAATATTCAATATTGATAGAAATTGAATTTCTTAACGAAGAATTTCACCACATCAGCACTTAACTGACAGAATGACAAAATTGGTCTCAAAAATTGAAGTTTAGGGATTTTTTTAGTACTTTTTGAAGTTCGAGGGTAAATTTAGTTCAAAAATGAAAGTTGAGGGACTGAACCGAGGATTTAACCTTCTTGAAATCCCTCCCTTCTACCTTCTCTGATCATCTATCCCTTTCTTTCTTTCCCTCTCCGCTCCTCTACATGCCCTTTGATCAAACCCAACAGGTTTGGGTTCGCGTGGAACCTAGCTAGATGAATTGGATTTGAATGAACTCAGATTTGAGTTCACGTGTGTCTAAATGAATTGGGTTTAGACAAAACCAAATCTGGATTCGAATTAGGTTTGTGGAAACCCAGATTTCTGAGTTTACAAAAT